ACGAAATTAACAGGTAAAGCATTAGAAAATTTTCGTGCTAATGCTAATTACCGTCAAAGAAAATGTCGTTTAAATAAACGTAAACGTTTAATTAATAATAAACCACCATCTTCATTTCAAAATTGTCAGTCTTTTGGTAAAGCTATGAAAAAAGTAACATCTGCTTTACCAAAATGTGAAAGCTGTTTTCTTTGCCAATAAAGCTGTTATTCAACATCTAGCTCAAAAATATGATCTTATTCCAAAACCTGTTCAACAACGTACATGTGCTCATATATCTGATAAGATTAAAAATGCTGTTCATAAGTTTTATTTAAGAGACGATGTTTCTTATCAACTACCTGGTAAGCGTGATACTATTGTTACTAAAAATGATGATAAAACACTAAAATAACATATCAGAAAAGAATACTTTTGAATAATTTACGTGAAAGTTTTGAATTATTTATAGAAGAGAATAAAGGAATAATTATTTCTTGTTCATCGTTTGCCGATTTAAGACCTCCATTTGTAGTTGCAAAAGCAGCGTTAGCTCATAGAATATGTGTGTGTATCTATCATGAAAATGTTAATCTATTACTGAAAGCAATTGATAAATTTGTTAAAGGAAATGTTTGTTCATCTTTACAACAATTTACAAGGACTTTAGTTTGTAATACTGTCAATCAAGAATGTATGTTTCTTGCATGTCCATTATGTGAAAGTAATTTTCAAGAGAAAGTTATTGATAATGTTGTAAACGGAGCAACTAGAATTAAATGGCGGCAATGGGTTAATATAAACGGACGTGCAGAAAAAAAGGAATTTGAAGGATCAGTTGATGAAACTGTTGAATTGTTGAAATCCAAAGTTAAATATTTTCTATTTCATGTCTATGTTAAGTCAGTGCAGGCTGCGTAGATACAAAGTTTTAGGCCAAAAACTAGATGCGAGTCAGAATTCTGCTCGTAATCCTCGATTTTCTCTAGCAGAACTCAACTTCTATGTAATAAAGATATCATATTCGGAATCAGGATCAAAGACAGAGTCGAATGATGTGTATTTCGAAATTATTAATTTGTGTGTTAATGTGTATTTCGAAATACACATCATTCGACTCTGTCTTTGATCCTGATTCCGAATATGATATCTTTATTACATAGAAGTTGAGTTCTGCTAGAGAAAATCGAGGATTACGAGCAGAATTCTGACTCGGATCTAGTTTTTGGCCTGAAACTTTGTAAGCTCGGATTGTCCCGCCCCTGTCTAGGCATGAATCTAACATGGATATGAGGAGAGAAGCAGTTTTCGGTCTCCGTTCAGGTACCGGTCCTTCCCAAAAAAATATTTTTATCCTGAGACCGCGATCGAGACTGTCCCACCCATGTCTAATAATGACAAATAGCGTCTGTATTTATAAATAATGGCAATTATTCCTTTAGTTTTATGCGTTGTTGTCAATAAGTATTACATATACAGCTATAAAGGGCTAAGGCATGTTTTCGGAAGCAGAAATTTTTTCAGAAGCTCTTTCCAGAGCATGTTTTCTCGGGGATCTTTGAAAAACTCGTCCGTGTCTCAAACGTTGCAATGTCTAAAAGCCAAGTTGACTTGAATATTTTTATTTCTCTACACGTGTTATTAATTTAGCTTTTTGTGTTTCTCAATCTCTGTCAAGGTAAGCGTGTAAATAAACACAAAATACTTTTAACAGGGTGCCTCCCCCCAAAACATATCCTGAAACTTTGCCAGTTTATAGAGGACACCTTCAAGGGTATACGTGTGCAATAACTCACGGGATGTATAACTTTTGGTGGGGAGGTGGAATTTTTACAAATTGAAAAAAGCTATTTTCCAGGCTGTTTTGCACCTAGTGCAAAAAGTATTTCTTGCACAGTCGCCCGCGTCAACGAAGCATTTTAGAAAGTTTGTGTCAAAACAAAAGTTGTTCATTGCATTCGTCTCCATCGGATGACATATTTTTTGTCAGTGCAGGCTGCGTAGATACAAAGTTTTAGGCCAAAAACTAGATCCGAGTCAGAATTCTGCTCGTAATCCTCGATTTTCTCTAGCAGATCCTGGTCGGTCTGCTTTTTCCCGTTTTTTATTCCCTTGTATCACTGTGAAAGCTCCTGTTCGAAAATGGTTGCAATGGGTTCAATGGTTTCTCATCATTCTTTTCATGATTATTACTTGGTTAACGAAACAAATTCATTCAGCATCTTGTATCTTATTATCTCGTTTGTTCCTATCATTCTTTTTACCTTATTGTCAACGTTTGTTTCGTTCGAATGCTGTGTCGGCCGTATGGAATTATAATAAACTCCAATATCAACGCGTTAAAGAATTAATGCAGAATCTACAACAACAGGAAGAACCATTGGAACAAGCTCAAGAATGGATCTGGTTAGATCGGAACTGTATTGATGCTTATAGTTATTGTCCGTTAGAAGATGAAGTTTCAGTTGGTTCAGATTTTCTCCCTACTTTGTCTCATCAAACCGAACATCTTAGTTGTGGTATATGGATGGAAACTTCACTTTTCCTCATTCATGCTCACCATCAACAACGTGCTAAAAATCTTCCTCTACTCGGTCTTTAATTTCGAAGCTGGTGGTCACATTTCCTTCTATTTATATGCCCACAATTAACGCTTGTCATACAGTCAAACAATGGTATCAACAAAATGGAGTTCCGTTCTTAGTGATTAGTGAATGGAAGGAAGAACACAAGACTGAAATTACTGAGATGAATGATATTGCAGGAGAAATGATATGGAACGATCACAATTTGTCATTGTTGTTTTCTTCTCTAGAACGATTGATATCAGATGCACGTGCTAAGAGAAATAACAATCAAGAATCGTTCAATTTGACTCTTACTCCTTGGTTGAAATCTGTCATTCGTTAAGCAAACACTGCTTGTTTGTCTCACCCTCAACAATTTATTATTTACATTCATATTTATATTCATTTTTTAGTCATTTCTTTATGCTTTGGTGTGTATTTTTCTCAATTATTCAGGTTTAAAGAATTAGGGTGAATCCGAGCAAGCTCCTCCCACTTTTTACAGGCCCAAAAGCCGGCAGGATCTCATTATCCTATTAACCTTTTCAACTTAAGATGCCGATGGCTACTTTTAGAATAACTTTTGATAGAAATCAGCGAGGAAGCTTCTTCGCCATTCGAAAGAGGATAGTTTAACCCTTTACCCTCTTGGTCACTGGAGTGACCAATCGTAGTACGATTGTAAAAAATAAAGGAAGCATGGAATTGAAAAAATTTTCCAGCATTTCTTGTGGTGTACTCCATAAGCTATCGACTGATTAAAAGAATATTTTGTTGCACTACTTTCGAAAACAATCAGTTACAAAATCGGTAAGTTTGAAAAAAACCACAAGAGTTGAATTTTTTTAACAATTATTTTTCTACCAACAATACATCTTGGAGACAAAAGCTAGGTAGATAAGCAATGGTAAACCATACAATGACCACCGTGGTAGGGATGTTACAAGTCCAGGCGCTTGGGTTTGGCAAGCCCGAGCTTGGGTGATGGCTTGGGCTTGGCTTGGGGAAAATGTTTTCAAGATATCGAAGTCATATTTTGTCAATTTAGTTTCTTATTTTTCGCCTTTCTGTGTTACTTTTCGTGTATGAATGTTGGCAGAAGATTTAAAGTTGGGCTACGCTAACTTCTACGTCAGTGCATATAGTATTCTAAAACTCAGGATTTAGAGGTTTTATTATGTCCCCTTTCTTTTTGTCTCTAGAAAGTTTCCACCAAAATCTTTGGAAATAAGACTTCCAGAAAACCGTGGTTTCTGACGTAAAGGAGTTGAAGGAAATGACTTTTGAATATCACCGTTAAGAGATGGAATATTTTGAAGATGATACTTGGATTCAGTGTTGAAAGACGAATATTTTGAAGAAAAAAGCATGTTTCCAAGTCAAACTTTCAACTTTTGACTTTAATTAAAATTGAAATAACTCAGCTCAGAAAAACGATGGAAACTTGGTTCAAACGCCATTTGATAGAGGATTAAAAACTAAACCAATGTGTGCTTTGACAATGCTTCTGTATTATGCGATCCTGGTTTCTATGGTTTTTTTCTAAATTAGAGGCGAAAAAGTCGGAATTCTGCTCCTATTTCTCAACTTTCTCCAACAGAACTCATCTTCTATGCAATAAAAATACCATATTCGGAATCAGAATCAAAAGTCGAATCGACTGATATGTATTTCCGAATTTTTACTTGATTTTCAGGGTTTGGGTGAAAATATCAATGATTTTTCGACGTGAAAATGTGAAAGAATTAAAAGTACTCAGATAGGACAGAGATACATAACTGTCAGCTCGACTTTTGATTCTGATTCCGAATATGGTATTTTTATTGCATAGAAGATGAGTTCTGTTGGAGAAAGTTGAGAAATAGG